CGCTATAGAGAAAATATAATTAAATAAAATTAACTTGACCTTCAAGGGGGGCAGGGGGTGGCGGGCCACCCCCCTAAAATAATGGCAGGAGAAAAACTGCATTACAAAGACTGTGAAGTATGTAGTTCTGAATTGTGAAGTTAAACAGTTTTTCACCAATTCTGTGTTCAGGATTTTTTGGGTGGGGAGTATTTGAAAAATAATGTGTTTTTTGAACATTAAAGCATGTCAACATATTCTGTTACACCAAATACACAAAATAATGATCTTTAAAAAAAGCATCATATGACCCCTTTAAGGCTGGAATACACTACACAATTTTTCCCCTTGATTTTCCACCGATTTAGAGTCTGGAGAAGTTGATGCTAGTTGCCAAAGGTCAGAGCCAGTCTGCAGATTTGACAGAATCTATAGAAAATCGATTAACAACTTAAAGTGACAACCATCACCATCAGTTTATATGTTAAGTCTGTTTATGAAGTATTTACATAGACGTTCAATGTGGAAGAGCTTAAAGAGAGCACACAAAGAGAGCTTAATTGGACCAGCAACAATTTTTAATAAATGTCATGTAATACGTATATTAAAATGACAAGATTTTGCAAAATAAATAATCTAGGTCATGTATTAAGTGCATACATATTTTATTATGACCAACTACTATTAACAATATCTATGAAATTATACTTTTTCTTGTTGATGTCACACTGAAGCTGTGTGATTTTCATAGTAGTGTACCCTTTAAGCTCACCTTAAAATAATATGAAATCTTTAAAAATTACAGCAGCATAAAACCACAGACCAGCAATAAACTGTAAATTTATAATATTATGGATTTAAAAGTACAAGCCAGTAATGCCTGTGAAGTAATATATTAGCGTAGCACACTAACTGCTAACTGTGTTCTGTAGCATCTGCACTATCTTTTGGATCTAACTGTAATTATTTCCCACATCCAAATTCCAGATTATAATATGCAAAATTATAAACATTAATCTCTTAATTTTACAGCAAGTAGTAAAACTTACCCAAAATAAAGGCTTAAACATCTAAAAAAATGCACATTTAAGGGGCTCCTCTTTTGGTGAAAGTTTTCAGACAGCTTTCAAAATGGCCGCTAGACAGTGTGAAAACATGGAGACTCATATCTCAGTGTGC